AGACATAGTTCAAAAATAAGAATAACAAGACAAATTTAAAATATAATTGAATAGTGTAATAAAAAAAATTAAAAATTACCTCAATTACAAAATTGATATTTATAGAGCACCATTTCCTAAAAAAAGATAAAATATAAATTAATTTAATATTTATATATAATTTCAACCAAATAATAATAATCAAAAGATAATTGAAATTAAATTATAGTTTACATAAATAAAATTTATTTACCCAATGATTATTTCCCAATAATGTTTCCTACAAAACAACAATATTAAAAAAAGTTATAAGTATAAATAAATTGATCAATAACTCAAAATCATGTTTAACCAATTAGGAAGAAAGAATAGGAGAGAAAAAGAATAGGAGAGAAAAAGAAAGGAGATTAAGAAGATATAAACCAAAATTAAAATAAATATAATGTAATTATAAATATGATAAATTGAGCAGTATTTTAATAGAAGAAGAAAGAGGAGAGACATATAATTAGGGAGGAGATGAAAGAAGAAGAAGGGGAAACAAAATGAGTGAGTTGTGTGGTTAGTAGGAATATATAGGGCTTTTTACCCATGTATAGTTAGTTAGTATTATTTTTATCGACGTAATACACGTGGGCAAGATTAAAGTCTTAGCGGAATCAAAAAATCCAAAAATTTTGTGATCCTGCCTTTTTGTTTACTAATAAGATTCTTGTTGGAAACTAAAAACCAAAAATTTTGTGATTCTCGCCTTCATTCACCGACAAATGCGTGCTGAGAAGTTAAAAGCAAAAATTTGTACCAAGAAGATTCTTGTTGGAAGTTCAAAGCATGCTGGCAACTTAAATGCTAGCAATTTTAAACACCTGCTGGCAACTTAAAAGCAAAAATTTGGTCACCTCCTGTGCTGCATCAGAGTTCAGCTTGACTATCCCGCATCACCGAGAAGACATGGTTGCAAAAGTACTATTACAAACGAGAATCTTCTCAGCAAATTGAGGAAAAGGCTTCATCACCTGCTGAGTGCTAATTGCTACAGTAAAAGGAGGTTACCGACGAAGATGTAGGTGGCACAAAGAAAGTTCACCAACAAGGAATTAATTGGCAAAAGCATTTTCTGCTCATTGGACTGAAAAGCTACATGGGTAGGTATTACGGAGAACTTTGTAACTTACCGACAAGATTGTTATTGCAGGATCTCATGGTTACCAACGAGAGCTTTGTCGGTCTGTAAGCTCTTTGCCTACTGCACTGCACGAGATGCAACTCTATTACCATAATTATGCAGATTTACCAAATGTGGCTTCCGGCCATCCTTAATGTCTTTATTAGCTGCTAATGTATTTTGATCTTTTTTTTTTTGGGTAAAAGCTGATCCATTTTGATTTTGTACCATGTTTTGTGGTTATGAAATGAATCCAGCTCCATTTTATTCATAAAAAAATAAAAAAACAAAGTTTATTTTTCCTCAATATGTTCTAGTATTTTTTTTTTTAATTTAGTTGTTAAAGTCTTTTCAAGTTAACTTACATGCATATTGAAACATACCTAAGGAATTATGGTTTAATTGATTAAGAGAGTTTGCTTTTCATTTTATTGATCAAGGTTCGATTCTTAGAGAAGGCTACCAAAAAAATAATTTATCATAAATTTCTTAATTTTGACATGAATGATTTGTCATTGATTAGATAAAAAAAATGATTAATCTCAAGGTGAGCAAAAAGAACGCCTTGATATATTATATTTCTTCTATGTTTGGATCAAGAAAAATAAAGGAAAGAAAATTTTATCCCTTTTAACTTTTTTCTCAGTTCTCTTTATTTAGATAAATAAATAAAATTTTTAAAAAATAAAGTAAAAAAGAAAAATTTCATCTCCTCCTCTCCCCCATGGCCTGTACTCAAACGTAATATTAATACTGATTTATTTTGAGATAAACTTTTAAAGAGTAAACATGGAGTTATAGGATTTTTGTATAACACTTTTTTTAGTGTCTAAATATGTTTTTCGGTCTAATCACATAAAAAACATATTATATTCATGTGTGAATTAAGAAATTTTTTTAAAATTATTTTTTATTAACCTTTTAAAAAAAATAAATAATTAATAAATTCACAAACAAAATTACAAAACCTTGCAGGCTGTTTTTATTTTTCATTTAAAAAAAAAATTTAACATGAATATCGATATGGAAGCAACCAAATTATATACCTTTTATTTCTCCCTACATTACCATCTTTTCGCATATGTAGATTTCAAGTTTTCTACTAACAACCAACCAAATTTGGGAAGCATTGGAAGAGATTTGAAAAGTGGACCATCTGATCCCATCTTTATATTTTATATGGATTCTCATTTTTTTTTTTACCCTCCAGAAAATTATTCTATGGATCATTTTAGGTATTAAAGAAACAACAGAAGTTCCATAAAAAGAAAGAGAGAGAGAAAAAAAAAAAAACAATAGACGAAATTTCAAGGCAGTTTCCTTACCAGATTGCATGCCAAAAAACATATATATTTTCTTTTCCACGTAAAAGAAAACAAAAATATTTTATACCGTCAGGGTTGTATTAGGCCGTGTAAATTAAATTATTAAAAAAACAAATCTCTTGGCAGATATCTCTTAATTTAATAATTTTGATTTTATAATTTAATAATATTATAACTATTATATTAGTTAAAATTATAAATTTATAATTATAATATAATATTAAATAAATATAAAATATAATAAAAAATTTATACATATAATATTATAAATAAATTTAAAAATAAAAAAATAATTTTATAATTATATTATAAATATAAATTTATAATAGTAATTGAATTACTAATGAAACTCTTTTAAGTGGAGAGCGCATCCTCTCAAGCCAATTGCAGCAAAAAGATATGAGATTCCTGTCCTAGACCTTTTTTTTTTTTCTTTTTTTGATAATATCTTGTCGGCAT